TAAAGGAAACTTGTAATTAAATTAATATGTAAAAACATCAAGTTAAATAATATTCATGTGATAACATGATGTTCATATTGATTGATATTACCAAATGTGGAGTTATGAGAGAAAATAGGAGTTGGTATTTCAGAGATGAGACATACCATTTGCCTCTTGGAAACCTAAATCTTGTGATTACATGAACTCGTCATTTATTCTGATGGTTGGAATGTGAGAAATCTTGCGCCACTCGAGGCCTCTTTCCTTGTCACATTTTATCTCTAACTCTGGGCAATCAGAAATGTAAAGGAATGTCAATTTGGAGAGGCATCGAATCGCTTCTGCAGAAGGGAGATGTTTCAGATTCTTGCAATGCAAGATCCCCAAACTTTGAAGAGATGACAAGCTTCCCAACCACTCTGGCAAGGCTTTTACTCCATGGAAAAAATATATAAACAAGCACCTTAGAGCAGTGAGGTATTGAATTTGATTTGGCAACTGAGTTAGCGTTTTCCAACCAAACAAATGCAATTTTTCAAGGGAAGTGCCGCGGTTGGGAATGGAACTCAGAATTTGGAATTCCTCCAATTCTTTTGAGAAAGGACCAATCCATAATGTCTTCAAGCGAGCAAGGCCGCCGAGGATCTCCTCTAATTTAGCAGAGACCAGATTAGGACATCCTATTATGTTAAGCTGCTCGAGAGTAGTGAAGAACGACAACCCACTTGGTAGATACTTTAATCGAAGGCATCCCCGAATATTTAGTGATTCAAGAGAGGATAAGCTTCCTAACCACTTCGGTAATGTCTCCACTTCCTTGAAATCTTCGATTGACAGCCATTTTAGAGCAGTAAGGTTTAGGTTTTGAATTTCAACTGGAAACTCAGTTAGTTTTCCCCATCCAATCAAATCCAACTCTTCAAGGGATCCTTGGAGGCTGCAGATGGAACCGAGAGCAGGGAGTTCCTCCAACTCATCTGAGAAGCCACCAAACCTCAATCTCTTCAAGTTGGTAAGGGAATTGAGGGTATTTTCTGGAATGTTCCTCAATTTTAGACACGATTGAATCTCTAAATCAACCAAAGAATGTATTTCCTTCAATTCTTCTGGAATAGAGATCAGGCTATGGCAATTGGATATCCCCAACTTCTTAAGAGAAATGCAAGATGATAGCCCACTGGGAAAATGCTCTAATCCACAAGCTTCAAATATTACCTCTTCAAGAGAACTAAGCCCATATAGACTTGGAATAGACCTTAGATTTTCACAGCCACACAAGGTTAAAACTTTTAGACACGTGGAGGTTGATAGGCTATTCAACTCTCTGCAATCTGGAATTAAGAGTGACTGAGGCAATATTAAACCATTTGATGAAACCCTTTCCAACTTGGGACAATTGAATATGTATAATTCTTTGAGGGATGCCAATTTAACAAATGCTCCCTCGGCTATAGTACTCAATTCAGCACAGTTTGAAATGGAAAGCATCTGAAGAGATGAAAATCCTGTCATTACTGGAATACTTTCTAATTTTTTGCACTGCACAACTCTCAATTCTGCCAAATTCTTGAGCAAAAATAGATCATAGTTTGAGACATTCTTCAACATCCATGATGGTAAGTTTTTGCCTCCATAACCATCAATTTCTAATACTTGCAGATCTGAGTGTGGTTGGAGACCTTCCAAAACATCTTCATCTTGATTGCTTTCTTTTCCCCATCTTAATCTCAACTCAAAAATTGTCTTCTCATGTAACTTTGCTCCCATAGCTTCTGATTTGTCCTTAACATGCTCAAGATTACAGATCTTCAAACTTCCTTTGAGCCCTCTCAAGCTGCCCAATTCTTCAATTTTGCATCCCATTGTTGTGCCTACAAAGAACATTGGCAATGTTTGAAGACAAGTTAGTTTTCCAATGTTTGCAGGCATCTGCTTTTCATCATTGAAGTATATATGCCTCAAGTTGATTAAACTTCCAATTCCTTCGAGAGGCATTTCTAGAGATCTGCAAGTCTTGAATCTAAATGTTTGTAAATTGTATAGCTTAAGGATGAACTTTGGCAGTGTTGTTATTTGAGTTCTGGAAATGTCTAAATACTTCAGATTCTTCATATTGTCAAAACATGGTGGCAATTCTTCAGTACCAACAGAATCAACAAAACTCAAAACTCGTAAACTTCTGAGATCCACCTTCATATCATTAAAAAAATCACCCTTTAAAAACAAAGTGTGCAGCTTTGGAGCAACATCTCTTAAATTTGTTGGCACTGTTCCCACACCATTAATGAGATTCAAATTTCGAACATTAGAAATATTCTTTTGAGACTTCCAAATCATTATCTCAGATTTTGAAATTAATTGTGCAAAATCATGAATTAAATCATGCATTTTACAACTAATAAGGATTCCAAATGAATCTCTTTCCTCCTCCTGAAAGAGGGAATACGATAACAAGTCATTTATATACTTATTACCGATATCCTCCATTGTCATAGGACTTTCATCAGTAGATTGGAGAAATCCCTTAGCCATCCAAAGTTGAATCAACATCTCCCTATCCATAACAAAATCTTTTGGAAAAATAGAACAAAATGCAAAACATTGCTTTAAAGCTGGCTCTGGCAAGTGATCAAAACTCAATTTTACCACACCTCTCATTTCTCTATCATGTTCAAGTGCACCCAATGCCTCAATCTGGCTTTTAATTGACAACCACGTGACTCTATCCAATCTTCTTGTGGACAAAGTTCCTCCTATAACACTTGCAACTAATGGCACACCTCCACATAATTGAGCAATATGCCAACCAATATTCTCAAATTCTGGAGGTATAGATGCATCTCCAAATACTCTCTTCCTGATAATAGACCAGCAGTGAGCATCTTGTAGTTTGCCAAGATGATGCATGTGTTCATCATGCATTCTCATTTTTAGTGCAACCTTTTCATCTCGAGTTGTCACAATAACTCTATTCCTTGACTTCGTACATATCCCAAGCAAACAGCTTCTCAAGTCTTCAAATTTCCTATGGCTCTCTTCATCCCACATATCATCCAGTACCAGAAGAAAGTTCTTCTCCTCCATGGCATCTCTTATTTTTTGAATCACAGTATCTTTATTTTTTACTTCACCAGAATTCCCAGTAAGAGACTCCAGCATTTCTGTTAAAATCCTCTTTACATCAAAATCATAGGACACACAAACCCACATTCTTTTACCAAAATAGTTTTTGATTTGCTCATCATTGCGCACAGCTTGTGCCAAAGTGGTTTTGCCAATTCCCGGCATACCCACTATTGACAAGACACAAAGCCGTGATACATCAGATAAGTCAGTTAACAGGTGCACTATTTTGGAGACATCATCCTCTCTCCCCACAACCTCCGATAAATCACCAATGGTGGAATGAGTTTGTGGGTTTCTTCCTTGTTCAGAAACCACCCTGCTAGCAGTAGCAAGTCTACTTTGGAGTCCAAACCCTCTGGCCTCATTGTTAATAACATCCACCGATGCATTAATATTCTTAATCTTCCCAGCAATCTTTCTATGAAACAGCAAGGGATTGGAGGAGGTAAAGAAATTACACACCTTTTTCATCTTTTGGTTTTTAGTCTCCACCTTACACTTCACACTTTCGTAAGCAATCTCATCCAGCACATTGTCGGCCTCATAAACCACATCCCTGAGCCTCTCAAGCCAGAGCTTCACAGCAGGGTCGCTGACCTGCTTCTCTTCAGCATCTTTTAGCACAGCTTGGACCAGGATCAACTTGTCTTGAAGCGATGCAAGCTCCTTCTTCCAGCCGACAGCAAGGCTGATTTCCTCAGTAGCAGTGGAAATCAACTTGGATATTGTGGTATTGATGATGGGACTCAGGAGAAGGTTAGCCCATTGCGGATCCATAACTTGAAAAAAAGAAATGGTTGGCGTTGGAAGCCTCTGTAGTGCAAAGAAAGAAAGAAATGTTGGTGGCGCATATAATTGATGAAGAGAAAGTATTTTGTATAGATGCACAGTTCGTGTTGAGAATCAATTTTTTAATATCAAGTTGCAGCACTATGCTTTTATAAGTGTTTGCTTTTTCTCGATCAGCAGAAGGATAATTTATTAATGGGAAAACGGAAAAACAGGACGTCCTTAACAAAACGGTGCGTTTAACTTGGTTTTCCATTCACCCCTTCCCATCTTAACACAAGTCGCAGGCTTAACGCAACACACAGGCTTGCAGTGCCAAAATCCTTCTCCTCCTCACTCAATCGACAACCAAGGGTTTGATCAAATCTTCCTGTAGGGCCATTAACTACTTTGCAGAGTTTCTTTTTCGTAATTTTTGAAATTTATAAATTTTGAGTGTCTGAAATCTTGAACCTCAAAAGTTTACCAACTCCTTCAAAAGCCCCCATCTCATTTCTCATACTTATTTCGATTGCATTTCTTTCTTTCTGCAGATCTCTTGGGTACCCACAAGATTTCCGTTTGGCATTTGTTTTCTTGATTTACTGCTTCAAATATCAAAGCATAAGCTTGATTTGGGTATTTGATGGTTTGAAATTACTTTTGATTTTGTTTCGCTTTGTTCGGCAGAGAAATGGTGGCAACTCCGTTTGTGGTTGGTTCATCGGTGATGGACACACATACCAGTCCATGCTTTTGTTTGGATGTGCTGTCGACAACCACCATGAGCTTTAACATGGCTGGGGCTCTTTTGTGTGTTCTGGATGTTTTTTTTGGTATGGACCATCCAGAATAAGGAAGCCTATTGGTTACCGACTAATCCAAATTTGAGTAAGGTAGAACTCAATGGGTGGCAAAGCTCTCCCTTATGAGTTTTAATGGAACTGCATTCTCAGGTTTAAAGTCAAGACCTCTGGTTAAACTAAAAGAGCCCAACCAACTTATCCACCTGCTCATGCCTTGTGTTTTGGTTGTTGTGTAAGGTAAGAACCAAGAATGCCAGAAAGGTTTTGTGTGTTAAAAGAGAAGGGGGTAATGGGTTGTCTAGTGAAACGGCCCGTTTCATCAAGGACGTCTTGGCACCAAGGCATCTTGTTTTTCCGTTTTTCCTTTATTAATAGGAATAAAATAGTAATGGTTCCAGTTTACAGAAGGTTAAGTAACTTTTTTTTTGTTTCTATTATTGAAAAAAGTTTTTTTTTTTATCTCTATATTGAAAAAATACCTTTTATAGTTTGTTTAAAATTCGATCTCTTTTTAATTCTTTTATTAAATTTTTTCTCATGTGGCACATTAATTAACATAATCAATAAACATAAAAATTACGTGGATGAAATATAAATCCATAAAAGTATTTTATATTAATATTTTAAGTCACTTATACAAATTAAAAATTTTATTTTTTAATTAATTTATGAATTAAATGAATTAAAACATAATTAGTTTTAATTTCTTCATCTTCTTGTTTCTCCTCGTCCTTATCCACCTTTAATTTCTTCTTCTTCTTCTTTCTCCTCATCCTCAGTATCATCTTCATTGTCCTCTTGGGCCATCTTCTTTATCATCTTGGGTTCCTCGTTGGAACCTAGTTTCTAGGTTTCTCATGAAACCCAATTGTTGGGTTCTATAAAGAACCCAAATTTGGGTTCCTCGGGGAACCCAAATCAGGGTTCCGCAAAGAACCTAGCTTCGGGTTCCTTGGGGAACCTAGCTTTTGGGTTCCTCGAGGAACCCAGCTTTTGGGTTCCACGAACCCAATGCTAGGTTCCTCGCAGAACCCAATTGTTGGGTTTGTAGAACCTAGATCTGGGTTTTACAAATGCTAGGTTCCTCGCAGAACCCAATTGTTGGGTTTGTAGAACCTAGATCTGGGTTTTACAAACCCAGGATCTGGGTTCTACAAACCCAGGATCTGGGTTCTACAAACCCAGGATCTGGGTTTTCGAGCTATTTTTTTTCATTTTTTTATTTTGAATGTATTTATTTTCCATAAAAAGAGTCGAATGAAACCAAAGTTTCATGTTAAGTTTTGAATTAAAGACGTTAAGTTTTGGGTTGAAATTGCAGGTGATAATAAGTTTATGGTGTTGTGTTTATGTTGCTATTAACTTCACAACTTGGTTTATCTGTGACTTAGGTTCAACAGGAAGAAAGAGTTGAAAATATGAAATTAGTGAACGAGTAAAGTTGTTCTTTTTTTCAGAAAAGAAGTTAGAGTTTACAATATTAAAAAATCATTTTAATTAGTAATTAATTTTTATTTTTATTAATGAAAATATTCCTATGAATTCTCAATTATATCTTGATTAGTCTCACTTGTAAAGGATTGATCATGAACAAAAAACAAGACGAAAGATGGAAGATGATATCTGGGGAGGGAACTAGAGAAAAATAGAGAATTTTAGAATGTGAATTTCATCATTTAAGGTTTCTTTTTTTTTTTTTTCTTCAGGCGAGGAGAGTGACATGGAAGGGATATTATTAAGTCCATGTAGGCATTTTTATATTGTGTAATAACCATGTCAAATGTTATTGTTAAGATAATGTGCCGCGTAAATAAAAATTTAACGGAAAGACCAAAAAGGAGTTAGATTTTAAATAGTAAAGACCATAAATGAGAATTTTTTGGTATAAGAATCAAAAAATGGCTTTTTTTAATAGTACATAGACCAAAAAAGGTATTTAACCTTTACAAAAAGCTTTAGTTCTGAAACGAAAATACAAAAGGAGAGTTTTGTTAAGAGATGGTC